TCTGTACTGCGTAGTACCGTACAGTAATGTTATCATTAGCCCTGGAGGCAGCACAGCTATAGCAACACAAACTTCTGCTCTGTCCAAGCTAATTAACCCCAGGTTCAGACCTCTGCCAATTCAGCTGTGCTGCATCTGATACCCAAGCTGGAATCTCTTAACTGGATGGTGCTCTGCTATGTCAATGTGTCCTGTCATTCAGTTTATTCAGTTATCTCTAAGGCAGTATTAAGTTGCATGACACAGACATAGCCCTGCTTACTCGTTCTCCCTTCAGTTAATACTGAATTATGTATACAACTGGAACAGCATCAGTAGGAGAAACTGGAGTGTACGTATACTCTTGTTTCTGAATATCCCCACGACCTAGTGATTACAGTGTTATCAAAGCAAAATTCATCTTTATGTTCTCCAAAGCACCTACTTTATCTTATGAGCAGAGACTTAAGCATATCCTGCTAATAAATCAGTTTTAGATCTAAAGCTGAAAAATGTTTAAACAGCTAATTAAATGTGGTGATATTTATTTCAGCATATTTCCAGCAGAAGACATAAGGACAGAGTTGCAGGAAAGCCGATGAAACCTAAATATAGTCCCTACAACAAACTTCAGCGCAGCCCGAGTATTTTAGCAGTAAGTATTCTTATTTGTCATCACTGTCTGTGTGAATTTGTGACCTTGGGGACTCCTGCACAAAAACAAGAACATGACAGACCTGACACTTCCAGAGTTTCTCCCCCTGCAGGCTGAGCCTGCACTGGGATCAGATTTTAAGGTAGTTATGCATTCTGTCTGCTCAGTCAGAGGCACTCAGACAGCAGCGTGAGGGTTATTTACTGCTAGGACGAAAGGAGTAATCAGCAGAATGCAGAATGAACCGTGTGCCTGGTGGAAAGGTGGGAACTGTGCTGCATTAATGCACCTCTCCTTAAAGGCTGAAATGCATATACTCTTTTTCTGGGCACTTTAGATAACTTCCAGTTATGATGGATGCTGTCAGGGAAAACGATGTCAGGTCTTAAAATCTAAAAATACTGATGTTCATCCTTTGCATATGAGAAACAGAGTGCTGGGTTAGATGTGCAAAGACGCTGTAAGGAGTTCAAGAGACCTGATGGCCTGTCTGCATACTTGGGTTATGTCTGTCACCAGATATCAAAACACGACTCCTGCATTCGTGGCCCCCAGCCATCCCCCTTTCGCACTACCTGCATTTCCAAGAATTCCCCAAGCTGGTTCTGCCCGTCAGAGGTAGACAAGGTTCAGACCAACTGTAGCTCACCAGAGACCATGTGTTTATTTGCTCTTGACTCAGCTTGTATTTTGTTCATTAGGGAAAAGTGCATGCCATCTAAGGTACAAAAACAATTTATAGCTTGTAAGGAGAAAGAAGCAAATATGTGTGTGCAAGAGTAAGCATGTGAAAAGCCTTTAAACTGAAATATTAATGTCTCTCCGTAATTGTATAGAGCTGAATGAAAATGCCATAGGCTTTCTCTATGTCTCCCCATTCAGTAGATTCTGCACATAGTAATCTTGTTAACTTTTGTAATACATCATTTTATAAGGTATTGGGTAAGAAGAGACCTGCATAAACAAAAGAAGGATGTGAATATCTCTGCCCCCACATGAAACTTGCCATTTTCAGTGCAAATGTGCTGTATATATTCCTGGATAGTTTATTTTCACCTTGAGTGCCAGCACCATTTTGGTTATGAAAAATAAATGATAATACAATGAGAACAAACCTTTTACAGCATTGATCTTTTTATATATATATATATATATATATAATATAGATATCTATGTGTGTATATTTATAGAGAGAGAGAGGGGAAAAAACAAAACTGCTCTGCATTAACAGGGGAATAGCTGGCAGAATTAGTGCTGGTTTCCCATCTCTGACCTCTGTACTTCTCTAAAAATGTTTTTTTCAGATGTAAACAAAGGAAGAAAATCTAGCTTCTGCATTTCAGTCATGGTCATTTTTTGTTGTTTCTTGCACTGTAATGGTTTCTTTCATGTAGTATTACTCATTTGCAAATTATGCTTCCTCTTAAACCCCACTGTGACTGCCCCTACCCTTAAGAGATTGATATGCATTTAAATATACAGTTTGGTTGCTTAAATTGCCCTGGGAATAAGAAAACATGGGTAAAATTTCAGAACAGCTGGAAACGGGAAAACGTGCTTTTGTGAAAAACCACAGTGTGCACTTTGTCAGGGTTAATGTTGCCCCTCATGTAAAACTGGGCATGGGTTTACACTGATATTTTTGGGTTTGTCCATTTGTTTCGCTGCAGGCAAAACTTGCATTCCAGAAAGACATGATTAAGCCGCTGGCACCTGCTTTCCTCTCCTCTCCTCTTGCTGCGGCTGCTGCTGTATCGTCGGCTCTGTCCCTTCCTCCCCGTCCTTCTGCCTCCCTGTTCCAGGCACCTGCGATTCCCCCGGCTCTCCTCCGGCCAGGCCACGGTCCCATCCGTGCAACACCCGCCTCGATCCTCTTTGCGCCCTACTAATGGCAGCGATATGAAGAAGAGATAACTCTGGCTAGTAGAAGGGGTAAAAAGAAAGGGGTCCGTACTTTAAAAAGTCTTTCGAAATGCCATCCAGTGTGACACCTCAACCAACCACACCACAAAATCCATCGCCGACTGGTACTGCGTCAGAGTAATAGAGTCTAGACTTGTAGAGTCTAGACAATTCTCTCTCTCTCTCTCTCTCTCTCTCTCTCTCTCTCTCTCTCTCTCTCTCTCTATCTCTTTGTCAGTGTCTCTTTTTGTTTTAATCCAAATAGTGGTTTACTAAAAACTCAATTGCTCAAAGAATTCTATTGGTAAAGATTCATGCATCTATTAATGGTGGTTGTTTTTTTTAAAAAAATTGTGTATTATGCACCTTGGAAACAAGAAACGTATAATATTTTCCTGACTGACTTGAAAACTAGGGTCTTCCTTGCTCGCACTTGTGTAAATAGGTCTCTGAAACCAACGGGGTATATTCTAGTGTGAAAACAGGTAGATGAACCAAGTGCTTAATTGTGGATAACATCTTAAAAATGAATGGCGTCCTTTTCTTTTCCATGTGCTCTTGTTGACAGGGATTGTGTACTGTCCTAGACCCCAGTGCTGGTGTATCTTGTGTAGTACTAAAGATGTATCTCACCTGTCTGATTTGAAAAATTTTAGTTTCTGTGCAGAGGTTTGGAAGCAATGCAGCCCTGAGGCTTTTTTTTAATTATTTGTTTTGTGTCACACTTTATTTAGAGAGATTAAAAATAGAAAGCCATATAACATGTAGTTAAGATTACTACTTCTTTGCTACTTTCATTTAACTTATTTTGTTGTTTCCTCACTGGTGTTGCTAAGCAATGTTTAAAGAGAAAAAAAAGCTTTACGATTGCACATTAGCACAGCTCCCATGCATTGTTTGAGAAGACAATGGATCCATGTATTTGTACGTAAAGATCCTTTTTCTTCATTTCTAACTAGTTTCCTTTGTAACAATGCTACATAATGTTGTGGCTCCCTAATGCAATAATGTACAGAACATAAAATATTTATAATTGACTGTCTTTTCTGTTTACTAAATATATTGCAGTAATGCACCACCTCTCTTAGCTCCCCAACCCTTTTATAAAGGTGATGTCAATATGTAGTACTCAGACTGAAGTCATTACGTGATAATGGGGACAACAGGTGGAAGAAAGAAAAAAAAAGAATTAACTTTTAGAGCATCTTTATCTGCAATCCATAATAGTAAAATGTCTGTGTATTTTTTTAAATGTACCTTTTCAATAAAAGAATAAGAAAAATATAGATGCTTCTTGTGTTTATTAATTAGAGGAGGGGAAAAAAATGCCTGGAACAAACAAACATAGCAAAGAAAAGTCTTTAGGACCCAGCAAAGCATTAAAGTATAATTAGAGACCTGGTATTCCCTTACATCTTCATGTCTATTCCTGCTACATCTTGTTACAGCCTTGGAGGGGCGCAGTTCTGTAATAGGGCTCTAGACGTTGGGTGCTTGGGAGGCTGAAAGCAGCAGTGGAGCCGGGCGGGCGATGGAGCCGGGTGGGTGATGGTGACCTGTCTTTCCCTGCCTCCGAAGGCTGCCATGGGTTGTGCCTGTCTCACGACGGGCTGTCTTTGAAACCAAGACATGGGAGCAGGTCCCTTTGCAGAAGGCACCTGCTAAAGAGCTTGAGTTGTTCCGCAAAAAACATTTCTTTGTCATTGCAGAGTGAGAAGAGTTAACTGTTAGGCTGTCTTGATTAATACAAAGCCGACAGGGCTGCTGCAAATCCCCCAAAGCCAAGGAATTAAAATGTCAGGAACTTTATAAACCAGAGTGTATAGAGCAACATATGCCCTGTGGTGGCAATGTACTTGAGAGCAGTAACTTGTGGGCCAGTCTCCATGAAGAAAAAAAGCAAATTCTCCTGGAAGCCCTTTTCAGCCATGCAAAGGACAAGGAGGTGACTGGGAATGGCCAGCATGGACTTACTAAGGGCAAATTGTGCCTGAACACCCTGGCTGCCTCGTATGATGAGATAATTGGCTGTGGGCCCAAGGAAAGAGCAATGGATGTCATTATTTGACTTTAACAAGACTTTCGACAGAGTTCCTCATCTACTTCTTTTAGATTTGGAGAAGAGCCAGATAAGGTGGGTAGAAAAGGTGCCTGGGCCACGAAGCTTGAAGAGGAACAGCAGTTTTCTGTCTGTGTGACAGGCAGGTATGAGTGGGAGTCCTCAGGGGTCGGTGACACTTAACAAAACATGCACACTGGGAAAGAGAGCACTCTAAGCAATTTGTGGATGGTACCAAATTTGGATATCTAATTTTTAACAGTGAGGGTGACAGAGCACTGGAACAGGCTGCCCAGAGAGGTTGTGGAGTCTCCTTCTCTGGAGATCTTCCAAACCCGCTTGGACGCAGTCCTGTGCCTCGTGCTCTAGGTGACCCTGCGTGTGCAGGAGGTTGGACTAGATGACCTCTAGAGGTCCCTTCCAACCTTAAGCATTCTATGGTTCTATGATTCCTGAGTCAATACCCTGAAAAGCAGAGCTGCCATTCGCAAGGACCTCAACAAGCTGGAGAAATGATTTGACAGGAACCTCATGAAGTTCTGGACAAATGCAAAGTCCTCCTTCTGGGGCAGACCAGCCCAGTGCAATGTTACGGGCTGGGGATGTGCTGCATAGAAAAGATCTTTGCAGAAAATACCTGGGGCTGTGGTGGACACGCTGAACGTGAGTCTGCAGTGCGCCCTTGTGGCAACTGTGCTTAACTGGATATTGTGCTGCTTTAGCAAAAAAAAAAAAAGTGGTCCTCGGGTGAAGGCAAGTGATTTGCCACGTATGAGGCTGCATCTGGGGTACAGTGTCTGTTTGGGGGCCTCCGGTATGAGAGAGATTGTGACAAAATGGAGCAAATCTGGAAAAGCACAAAGATGGTTAGGAATTGGAGTATGTGAAATAGCAGTACCTGAGACAGCTGGTCTGGAGAAGCTAAAGCAGTTCTGACTATTGTCCTCAACTGTCTAGCAAAGGGTTGTAGAGAAGGGAGAAGCAGGCTTTCCTTGGAGGAACACAACACACAACCAGAGGCTGAGAGGCAACAGTCACAAGATGTAGAAAAGACTGTTCTGACCAAATATAATAAAGTTTCCTTAGTAAAAATGGATAAAAGTGGAACAGGTTGCCCTAGAATGTTTTGTAATGTCTATCCTTGGAGGGACTTCAACTGGATAAATCCTCAGCACCCTCATCCAGCACTGAATGCCCTGAGCAGGAGGCCGGACACAGTCATCTCCCGAGGGCCCTTCCTCAGAAATAGTTCTGTAATTCTCAAAGATCGAAAGGTCTTCTGGTAAGTAATTGCATTACAGGTTAACTAGGAGCAGAAATTAACTTCTGAGCAGTGAATGATAATTCATCATCCGTAACATGGTGGGGTCCTGCTGTGAAAGGCTGTAGAAAAGCAAAGACAAGCGTCCTGCCTGTAATGTGCTGAAGAAGGGGAGTGAACAGCGGGGTCTATGTGGAGGGATCTGAGGGTCAAAGTGAGAGGGTGGGGAAAAGGGTTTTACTGTAACATTTTGACTAGGTTTTGTAGGGAGCTAAGGCTATTTTTCAGAGGAAAAAAATTCATTGAAGTAGTTGAAATGTAAGGTGATTCAAGACTAGATGATCTTTGCTAAAACGAACCCATTTTCACAAACATTATTTGGTTAGATGTGCTGAAACTGTTTAAGCAAAAATATATTTTGATGGAAAAATTCTTACCAAATCTGGGTTGCATCTTATGTTCACAGCAGAGCATATTCCACCACGCATTAAGCATCATGGCTAACACCTGCAGCACCTGTATCTTTGGCTGCAGGTGTTCGGGAACAACGGGCTGTTTTGGTATTGAATGGCATATTTCTTCTTTTCACTGTCAGACTTGTAAAGATTAATTTTAAAAAATTACAATGTTTTTAGACAAGCAGTTTTTGTCTGCTTAAGGGATTTGTTGGCAATCAAATAAAGTAGCAGCAAGAGGATGCAATAAAATAGGAAAAACATACTGTGTGCACCAGACAATAAGGCTGCTGCTGGCTGAATCTGGTGACTAAGCACTGGGTGATGTAGGTAAGATGCTGATTTTGAAAAACAGTGCCTGCTAACTCAGAAGTAGGGTTGCATAAATTAGCAAATGATTTCTGTGTCTGCAGAACTGGCCAACAAAATCCATATAATATAGATATGCTGTCATACATAAATTCACTGTACCAATATTTTTTCTCTGAAAACAAATCTAGGTCCACACATTGGAACAAACAGAAATAATTCTTTTCTTCCCTCTGAAATAAACAGAGGCAAAGTATTCTGATTTTATTCTGCAACCCAAGGGAAAATGGAATCAAACTGGAAGGCAGAGTTTATACCATAGCTCCTAGTTATTTTTCAGCAGTCGTTAAAAAATATTGGAATGCCTTCACTATTTGGCAGAATTTTTTGATGGATAAGGGCAAGGGAATGTTAAGAGTATAGGTGGGAGGTATAATGATTGCTATGAATTGGGGAAAACAGTAGTTAAATGAGAGAAAAAAAGTCTAATTTCTGTTGTGTGAGGGAGACAGGATCAGGCCCATCCCTTTACCTGAGACTGAGTAGGTTTATGTATTTGCAGTGGGGTTATATTTTCAGTTGAGTTAGAAACAACCTATGGCTTCATCTTGCACAGAAGTCCCACGGCAGCGTGGAGGAAAGGAGCGTTGTCCCCTCGCGACGTGCCGAGGAAGGAAGGGGCACAGCCAGCCTCGACTGAACGCGCCACGCATCAGGAAGGGGGCTGGTGAGTTTGGGTCGAGCTTTTGTCCTTTAAGGAGAGAATGAAAGAGCTGGACTGCAATGTTGCTGAACACATTGGCTAGGAGGTGCTAGTGAGTTTGAGCTATTTTCCAGAAATTTTAAAAATTATGAACAGCTTTCCTACCTGTGGGGCTGGTTGCCCTCCCTTTTTTATGCCTT